TCGGCCCAAAATGCCAATTTTTATGACAGTGATTAACAATAAGGCAGAATTCAAAAGCAAAAGCTTTCTGTTAATGTTTAGTATACCAAGCAACAGGGTCGACCCTGGAGCCTCTTGGAGCCAGGGACCATTCTGCTAAGACCCAGCCCAGTAAGAATAATTTATGACATGCTTCTTGATTTAATGTACTAACTGATCAGGTTCTCAGTGGCAGTTCTAAAATGATTTCACACAGTTAAGGCTTTACTTGTAGCAATTGCAAAATTTAGGGATGTTTCCTTTCCCTGTCAAATAAAGAACAGTAATTGTGCTACCTCTGNTCTGGTAATTCAGCTTCTTCATAAAATACAACAGAGTAAGACCACTTAATACTGAGACCAGGAGATAGAAAGTATAATTAGTTTGTAAAAATGTCACTTGAACAGGAATATCTGCAATTTGGGATCACTTGTGATTGTGACAGGCACTGGACAATTCTATATGGCAGAAATTATGACCACTTTACATATGAGAAACCAGAGGTCAGAGAGGTTAACTCATCCATGGTGACATGGCTTTTAAGTATGACCACCAGACTAACGTCCCGGGTTCTTTCCCCACAGCCACTCTGGTTCTGCGGTGTAGAAAGACAAAATACCTCTATAACTTATACCTATACCAGCTTTCACTAAAAATGACTTTAAAAGCCTATGATATATACCTTTTGTAATGGTGACCATTTTATTTTAAACAGTACGATATATAACTAATGTTTACCCGTAGCCAGTGCTCATGTACTTCTGAATATAGGGCGGTTATACTTCCCCACTTCCTTGAAGTTAGGTGACCCTGTGACTAGTTCTGCCTGATGAAATGCAAGCATAAGAAACACGTATCACTTCCAGGCTAAGCATTTAATTGCAGGGGTTCAACTCTGAGGCCTCTCTTGCCTTTGCTTAGCATTCATAGAAACCTGTATTGCTATGGTGGTGCTTCAAGCTCAGACCAAACGGACATGCCAAGCCAGCACATGCAGAAGGGTGTTCCTAGAGCTGCTTAAATGCACAGTGGGTTACATGCGTGTAGAAATAAACCTTTAAGCCACAGATTTGGAGACTTTTTTATTACGATGTAACCCAGCCTACCCTTCTGACATAGATGGTGAAGAGAATTATAAAATAGATTTAAGACATGCTCTGATGCCCTACAACAGTACATTAAATTTGGCTGAAACACAGTTGAATAAAAACTCAAGGGCTGGTTAAGAAGGAACAGGAACTACGAGTTGGGCTCTAAGTTCTTACGGTCACCTTGAACAACTGAACCACCACCCTTCCCACCTTCAGGGAGCTCAGCACTTCAGTTAGTCCCATTATATGAAACTGCTTCCTGGGGAAATCAGAACATTTCTAGATGTTTTCCATAAAATAGTATGGGAGCTCTGATCAGTGTGGTAAAGGGTCATTTTTGGGGAGGATCACTGCCCTGTTTGATAAAATTCAATCAAGCAGGACTGGCTTCGCTTAGAGAACAGATGCTGACATCTTTCACTTTTGATTATGCCTGTTGATATCCACATGAATCCTGAGATGTGATGTTTGAAAAAAACCATAGTGTTTATTTAAATATCCAATTGCCTTAGGGAGGCTAACATGAATTTTTAAATAGCATCCCATTTTCTAAGTTACTAGCACTCTCCTGAGTGCGCCACGGGCTCGGCCCAAAATGCCAATTTTTATGACAGTGATTAACAATAAGGCAGAATTCAAAAGCAAA